CGTGGCAGCCACGCACAATGGGGGCGGGGGGCTGATCTTGATAAATTGAAGTTGTAGATGAGTTGGGAACATTTTTTGAGTTTCAACCTCCCAGCTCCCCTGGTTCCAGAGTTATTCATTTTCCCACTAAAAATTTCCACGGGGCCGTACATGGCAGCCACGCACATTGGGGGTTGATTTTGATAAACTGAAGTTTTAGATGAGTTAGGAACATTTCCTGAAAGTTTCAGCCTCCCAGCTTCCCTGGTTCCGGAGTTATTCATTTTCCCGCCAAAAATTTTCACGAGGCTGTACATGGCAACCACGCAGACTGGGGGGCTGATTTTGATAAATTCAAGTTGCAGGTGACTGGGGAGTATTTTCTGAAAGTTTCAGCCTTCCAGCTTCCCTGGTTCCGGAGTTATTCACTTTCCCGCCAAAGACTTTCACGGGGCCATACGTGGCAACCACGTATGACGGGGACTAAATTTGATAAATTGAAGTTGTAGATGAAATGAGAACATTTTTTTAAAGTTTCATCCTTCCAGCCTTCTTGGTTCCCGAGTTAGCGATTTCCGCGCCGGGAACCCTCAGGGGGCCGTATGCGGGGACCACGAACCCCCGGAGCTGAATTTGAAATCTTTGGGTTCTACTTGGACTGGAAACATAATCCCAAAACTTCAGCTTTCTAGCTTTTCTGGCTCTCGAGTTAGAGATTTTCCCGCCAAAACTTTGAGGCTCGTACGTGGGGCCCAGACATGCTTGAGGGTTAGTACCGCGGTCCTGGGGTGGCACTTGGCCGGGGAACCCACTCGCAAAATTTTGGCGCCGGAGCTTGCTTGGGTGCCGAGCTAAAATGTCCAGACAGACGCACACATACACACACCGGGGTCGTCACAATATGTGTTTTTGCATATTATGCAAAAACGCATAACAAGCAGTGTACTACAAGCACAAAATTGTCACCAGAAAAAGAGACCGCTTCCTTGTGTTTTTCACTAAAAACGAGAGTTTTGACTTTTTTGATTGGTAACTTATTCTTCCGTATTATTCAATGAATTCTTCGAAGAGGGTGTAATGCACTTAATTTTTATTATGCGTTTTGCGCTGTGTAATAGCAGTACAAAATGCACATTGTCACGGAGTTGTCTGTGTGTGTATGCTTGTGTGTGTGTGTCCGCAGCAACTTGTCCGCAAATTTCAACTCGGGAACCACAAAAGCTAGGAAGCTGAAAATTTAAGGGAACGTTCCCCACTAACGTGTGACCACGCAAATTTAAATTCAGCTTCTCCGTACCCGCGGGTAACACGTATGGCCCCATGAAAGTTTTTTATGGGTAAACTAATATCTCGGGAACCACGGAGTCTAGGAGGCTGAAATTTGATCCCCTACCCACGCTCAACCTTCCCTATTCAAATTCAGCGTTCCCGCTCTCTTGAGTATCACCTATGGCCTCGTAAAAGTTTTGGCGGATAAACTATTAACTCGAGATAAAGATATTCACCCTTCAAGGTTATGAATTCAGCTTTCATGCGCTGGTGCGTGAAATTTTTAACTGTTTTCCAATGTTTGAACTATTTTTGGCTATTTAGCTTTCATACGCTGGTGCGTGAAATTTTTAACTGTTTTCCAATGTTTGAACTATTTTTGCATAGACAAGGTACAAGAGTGCGTGAAATTTTTAACTGTTTTCCAATGTTTGAACTATTTTTGCATAGACTAAAGAACAAAGCACTGGTGTGTGAAATTTTTAACTATTTTCCAATGTTTGAACTATTTTTGCATAGACTAAAGTACAAAGCATGAAAATCATTAATAGGCAATCGTTCGATGGGCCGAATTGCACAAAACGCATTATCGCACCGGCTAGTCTGTTGAAATTTTTAACTGTTTTCCAATGTTTGAACTATTTTTGCATAGACTAAAGCACAAAGCAGTGAACTGGTGCATGAAATTTTTAACTATTTTTCAATGTTTGAACTATTTTTGCATAGACTAAAGTACAAAGCAGTGAATATTAATAGGCAGTCGTTCGATGGGCTGAATTGCACAAAACGCATGGTCGCACCGGCTAGTCTGGTGCGCGCTGCTATTTATTCTAATCCATTCAGTCAGTGGGCCTCGAAGGCCCCTCATTACCCTGAGATCCCCTGAGTTACTCTTCACATTACGCTAACAATAAGTGACGGGAATGCAGAAGAAGCATCATACTCAGCCATAGCGATCAATCCGACGGCATTCTCGGGGTTGGCGCGCAGCTTGCACTGGAGTACCAGGTTCGCGGCGTCCTGCTGGCACTGTAGCCGCGTCGGCGTAAAATCCCCGTTTCGCATCCACTCCGAGTTATCCACACTGCAACAGGGAACATCATTACCAACACCAACACGATTGTCATTAATATTATCATCATTATCACCACCACCATCATCATCATCGTCATCATCACCATTATGATTATCATCATCATCATCATTATCATCCGCATCGTCAACAGTACGAATGGGGTAAATGTGCTCACCAGATCATCGTGCTCTCCTGCACCATCTTCGCTTATGTTTCCAGCAAAATGATCTGAAATT